CAACAGTGTGGCTTATTTGGGAAAATGTGGAATTTATCAGCAGAAGATCTGTGTCTTAGTGATCACTTACATTATCTTGGCTTTGTTTTGTAATGCCAGGCTGAGTAGAGGCAGCTTTGAGGGGGGCAGTATTTCAGAAAAAAATATATACTAATTAGAAATAGAAAATTATTGGTGAGTTATAGAAGGGCCTTTTGTAAAGGAGGGCCCCTGCAACTTAAGGTTCAGTAGCTTCACACGAATTCCTCCTTTCCAAAGTAATTATTGCTCTACCCACGTCTAGTTTTTCCTTCCATGAAATGAAGTATATACACTCTGCATATTCCAAACACAGTCTTTGGTAGCATCATTAGCATAGCCTGAAATGAGATCCCGTATTCTTAATTCTCTACCCCTCCAAAACCCCTTCGCAACCATGTGCAATTTAAATTATGCCAATGTCTTCAAATTTTACCGGATTCTTTAGTAAAAATAAGAATTGCCCCTTCTCTTTTATCACATAGTGTGAGGGCTTTTTTTTTTTTTAAACATATTCCTTGTATGTCTGCTTTGTAATTTACTTGTATCTCTATGTTCTGTCTTCCTAGAACATAAAATCCTTAAGAATAGAGACATTAGTTTTGTTCTCACTCTGTGGAATTGACTAGATGTAGTAGTTGTTTCTTGAATTGAATTCATAAACTAAATGCCATTAGTGAGATGAGTGCACACATGAGATGAAATATCTGTCTGGTCTGACAAATGTCCATGTGGATGACACATTCATTTTTGAATCATAATTGAAGAGGAAGGCTAGTTGTTTAAAGGACACCGTCTGCTACTTCCTAGGTATGTTACCTTGCACAAGTCAGCGTTTCTACCCTCATTTGTAAATGAGGGTGACGCGTACTTATATCTTAGTTTGATTAGGTGATTAAATGAATGTATGTGAACTGTTGGTACAGAAGCTCACAGATAGCTGCTTTTGTGGTGATGATGATGATTTCCTTCAGTGCTCTTCTCTTACCCCTCTAGTTTAAAAGGTTAGGGGAATATGTGTATAATTCATTTTTTCCTCACTGTATATACCTTGAGGGCTGAACAAATGGACGAGTTTAAAAAATGTGGATACATGGTTTTGCAGATGTATAATTTGGGTCCTCTGCTCTCTTTGAATATCTTCTTTTTTTCTCCTCAGTTGCCATTCCCAGTTTGCACAATGGCTTTGCAACTTCCGTCACTTTCCTTTAGACTTCTCCTCCACCCATTCTCTCCCTTCCTCCCCGGACCCCAAAAGAAGCCCTTCTTCATAAATAAATGATACGTAATGACACATTTGTGAGTGACTATTTGCACAAACTTGAACAGGTGTTTTTACATGCATTATAACATCTGATCTTTTCACTAAAACCAATGTAGTTGTCTGCTGTAAACAGTTTTCCCAGGACTACTGATAATGCTTCTTTACTGGCTTATTATCATCATCTTCAGCTTATAGATGAGAAAATTAAGCCTCAGGAAGGTTTAGTACTTAGTGGCGAATCAGAACCCTGAAATTTAAATCCAGACTTCTTACTCTATTCTGTTCTGATTTCCAGAAAGCATCAAGTAAGAAGTCCTTTCTGCCCTTCTACATCCAAAATGATCTTTATGTCTTACCTTTGGCTTCTGAAAAAGTGGCACCACCTCTTTCTGTCAGTACTTTGCATTGATTAATCTTTGCTCTCTAATCCCTCTTTCTTCCCACACGGTTTTTCCAATCACTTATCATCTTATTTAAATAAGTCAGAGAAAAACAAATACATGATTTCACTCATATGTGGAATTTAAGAAACACAACAGATGAACATAGGAGAAGGGAAAGAAATAAAGAGAAAAACATAAATGGAGGCGAACCATAAGAGACTCTTAAATACAGAGAACAAACTGAGGGTTGCTAGGGGGTAGTGTGTGGGGGATGGTTAAATGGGTGGTGGGCATTAAGAAGGGCACTTGTTGGGATGAGCTCTGGGTGTCATATGTAAGTGTTGAATCACTGGTTTCTACTCCTGAAACCATTATTATACGACATGTTAACTAACTTGGATTTAAATAATAATAATAATAATAATAATAATATAATAATAATAATAATAATAATTAGTTACAATACAAGACAACTCTCTCAACCCTTGGCTCCTTTCACATAGCTTTAATATGTGTTCGAGTGTCATTCACCACATTACATTATGTGGAGAGATAAAATTCCTCAAAAATAATTGAAACCATTTTTAGATGAGGGTTTCCTGGTCTTTAATCAGGCTTCAGCCTTTGACAACCTAATTTCTGCTCTGACCACTGACTGTTCTAGCTGCAGTGCTCACTGACCAGCTAGTGTATGCTTCTTAGTACTTCTCTCATTTGACATGTCTCAAAATTGACATTGTTGATTTCTCCCTCATTCCTAAAACTCTCACATCACTTGAAGGAAGTGGTACCCTTTCTCTTTCCTGATCATTCATCTTCTTCTCTTGTAATCTTGCTTCTCTCCTGTGGTTCTTCCCTTTTTCTGCACACCCCTTAAATTCCTATTTCCATGGTTCTCTCCTGGCCCTTCCTCTATGTCCCTCTAAGTTGGAGTGCGCTAAAATAAATACAGACAATACAGGGGTACACTGCTCTTTTGAAAAAAAACAAAAAACATGTGGTTATATGTATGTGTGTGTGTGTGTGTGTGTGTGTGTATAAAATGATTTATAAAATCTAAATTCACTTCAAAATACTATTGAATTTATAATAGCATTCTCTTATTTTGGGTTTCCTTAGTTATTAGACTAACTGTAAGTAAACCTATTATTATCTGTGATTCTGATCACTGTAAAATTTTAAACTTTCTCTTCATATTGAAAAGCTGGAGTTTTTCATTTAGGACATGAGGTTATATATTACCTCATTCCCACCTGCTTTGCATTTATATTTCTGCCACTATGCATTCATTCTCTGTCTATTATTTTGTTTTCCCAACCTCTTCATGCCATTTGTTGCCTCATCTGAGTAACTTGTTTTCCTTCAGTCGGGAATGCTTTTGTTCTTAAAACATCTGCCTCCTTGCTTATCCAATATCCTATTTAGAACATTTAGGTAAAAGTAGCAAAACTGAGTTCACTGAAGCAAAAACAAAAATGAGGGAAAGAAGTCTGTCATAGGTTTACAGGGATGTCTCATGGCAGCAAAGTAAAAGAATAAAATTTGTCTCAGGAAGGGACTAGATCCTGTGTTTTGGTTACTTGCAGGAGCTATTTATCATTATGTACTTATATGGATCCCTAGCCCCAAATTTTGTGGTTTCTAGAGAATAGTACATGCTGCTTTGTCTTATATAAGGGAGTAATTCAACCAATGAAGCTATTATATATATACACACACACACATATATATACACACACACATTTATATTTATATAAACATATATATATATACATATATATATAATAAAAAAAAGTATTTGCATGAATCTTGGCTCTTAATTATTTGATGCCAGAATTCTAATTATGTAAGTAATCCATAATTACTTTGTCTCTATAATGGTTAGAATCAATATGCTAAGAAATAATATTAAGGTATATATGTACACTTATAGCCTCATATCCTAAGTAACTCCTTCACCCCTTAACCCATTTTCTTAGGATAATTCTCACTACTCATGGCTGGGTTGTAGTTCTCTGTGGTAACTAACTTCTAATCACACCGTTGTTATTTTCTAGTAATATGTACTAGAATTGACTCCAACTGGTATAATTGGGTGAGACTAATATGCATTATGCAAATTGTTTTCATGAAAACTTTATGGGCACTGTGGTATAAGTTAATCAGTTTCTTTTCTAACTTGTGATAATCTGACAGCAACCAAAATTTAAATTAGAATAATTTGACCACTTCCTGATTTTTGCTCTTTCTGGCAGAGAGAAGTGAATGAATTTATTGTTCCAGCCTCTGCACACTACAGAATTGGTCCCACTGCTGTGGCAGGCTCAAAAGTGTACAAGTCAAATACAGACATACATTTGAATAGAACTCACTCAAAAATGTCTATTTAAGGGGCGCCTGGGTGGCTCAGTCAGTTAAGCATCCGACATCCGCTCAGGTCATGATCTTGCAGTCCGTGAGTTCAAGCCCCGCGTCGGGCTCTGTGCTGACAGCTCAGAGCCTGGAGCCTGTTTTGGATTCTGTGTCTCCCTCTCTCTGACCCTCCCCCATTCATGCTCTGTCTCTGTCTCAAAAATAAATAAACGTTAAAAAATTAAAAAAAAATGTCTATTTAATATAGAAAATACAGCAATTTTTATACTTAAATTTTACAAATGAGTCTTTTTAAGAAGCTTTTAAGTATTTATCAGACAGAAAGCAAGGCCAATTAAAGGATTTAACTTCACTTTCCTAAATCCATAATTTCCCTGAAATTTAACTGAAATGTGGCACAACATAACTGAATAAAGATCACTATTAAGGAATATTGTCCACATGCAAATCTTTCATTATATCTTATCCCTGTTACAGCTTATATACATACATACATATACATACACATGCACGCACACACACACGTATATATATATATATATATATATACATATATATTTATATTCATACATATATACACACGTACATATGAATATATGTGTCTGTGTGTGTGCATAATATTTTGTCTTTGGTCAGATTTGAGTGTAAATTCCAAGATAAATGAATATCAGTTTTAAATATTAGATGGAAACTGTTATTTCCTACTGAAAATATCTGAAATAGCTATTCATTATTGCTGATTCCAAAGGATAATTTCTTTTCCTAATAACCCAAATAAGAGAAAAATAAGCCATCTCATTTTTGATAATGTTTGGTAAGTAAAAAAAAAATAGTGTTTTTTTATAGGAGGCTACATTGTAATAGTGGTTTAAGAGAGTTTCAGAATTTCATCTTCTTCGAAAGTGTTATTCTTTGCAATAACCTGCAAAGCATGCTGACTAATAATGCTTTCCTCCCAACAGAAAATCCAATCAGATTTGACAAGTCATGAGATCAGTTTAGAAGAAATGAAGAAACATTACCAGGGAAAGGAGACTGCCCAAAGGGTGCTGTCCCAAATCGATGTGGCCCAGGTACATATTATTGCATAAACTAAGGAAATGGTTTTAGTTGGGTATTAAAACATACTCTGTATTAGACAGTTTGATTATTAGCAAAATTAGGATTGAGGGCATTATTTGAAAACTATAATATGATTTGTAAATAATACAGATTTGGGGGGGTTTCCATTTTAAAGATAAAATTAATAACTTACACTTTATTTAGTACCACGTTAAGAACAACTACTGAATTTAAATATATGTATTGTTTCTGCTGGAAAGGTAGAAAAGAATTGCTTTAGTTTTGTTTTTTTTTTTAACTTTTTTTTATCTTTAGGGATAAAGAAAAATCTATTAACAAAAGTATGGCTGCCTGTTGTTTGGAATGTGAAACTATAGGGATGCTTTGTCTTTGTCTTTCCAGAAAAAGTTGCAAGATGTTTCCTTGAAGTTTCGATTATTCCAGAAGCCAGCCAATTTTGAGCAGCGTCTACAGGAAAGTAAGATGATTTTAGATGAAGTGAAGATGCATTTGCCTGCGTTGGAAACAAAGAGCGTGGAACAGGAAGTAGTACAGTCACAGTTAAATCATTGTGTGGTAGGTATTTCTGGTGACTTTCCTTATTAAGAAGTATGTGAGGACCCTCCTTTATAACAGAAGATTGTTTCCAGATAATTATGATAATTATACAATGTTATTTTAAGATTAACAACAAACATTAGCGCATGTGTATTGAGAGACGAGAACACTTACTGAAATGGTACCCTTTTAATACATCCTCTGTAGGTGTCTTTTTGGAATCCAGAATTCTCTAAGGACTGTGTAGAATATAAGAGGAAATACCCTTTATTTATTTTTTTAAGTTTATTTATTTATTTTGAAAGAGAGAGACAGAGAGCAGGGGAGAGGCAGAAAGGGAAAGAGAGAGAGAATCCTAAGCAGGCTCCACATTGACAGTGCAGAGCCCGATTTGGGGCTTGAACCCACAAACCATGAGATCATGACCTAACCTGAAACCAGGAGTCGGTTGCTTAACCAGCTGAGCCAGCGAGGTGTCCCATTTAATTTTTGTAGTACTTTGAATATATATTTTAAATGTAAATTCTGAAAAGAATTTTAGATGTCTGGAAACAGCAACAACAGCAACAACTACAATAATGAAACCGTTCCAGAAATGAATACCAAGTAAGCTAAGTGATTTATACAAGTTGTCCCTAATTCTCAAGGCCACTGATTAATGAGATAATTTAATTTTTTTTAACGTTTATTTATTTTTGAGACAGGGAGAGACAGAGCATGAACAGGGGAGGGTCAGAGAGAGGGAGACACAGAATCTGAAGCAGGCTCCAGGCTCTGAGCTGTCAGCACAGAGCCCGACGTGGGGCTCGAACCCACAAACTACGAGATCATGACCTGAGCCGAAGTCAGATGCTTAACCGGCTGAGCCACCCAGGCGCCCCTAATGAGCATTAATTTAAAGACAACACAGCTGGTGAAGGGCAAGAGGAAGATTCCAATCCAGGCACTGTTACTCCAAATCCTAGTATATTTCCATTACATATCAGTGCTGGATATATACTGAAGTCCCACCACACCTCAAAGACAGAGTCAAGAGGCATGGAAGGCACATGATTAGCCTGTAGCATAAATCTTCAGAGGATTTGGGGATTTTGAGCTGTGTCCCTTACTGCAATTATTGGAAATTCGCCATGTCTGATGACTTCTCTGAAAACTTAAGGCTGAATTACAAAGGCATCTCCTAGAGTAATACAACTGTTATTATAACTCTGTGTACTTTGGGCAGTGGGGTAGAAGTTCACATAAAACAAAAGCACTGAATGTTATTAACATTGAAGATGAAAACAAATTTATCTCGTTAGTACTTTGTGTTTTTAGTATTACTTCTGCATTGACTCCCTAACATAAACTTAAAAGAAACATTTTAGATGCATTTCAGTCATATTATTTTGAGTGGGAAAGTATCCTTTAACAAAAATTTTATAATCTATGTATTTCTTTGTGAAAAAGTCTGAAAAATTTTGTATGCAGTGACATTTCTTCATAATAAAGGCTGCATTTTAGTGGCATCATGATTATAAATGTTCCTGCCCCCCCAAATAAAATTTGAATATAACAGTATGTAACTATTAGCTGGTGTTAGATGAGCAAACATTAGGGATTTCTAGGATGATATCACCTATTAAATTTTGCATAAATTATTAAAAGCAGAATGACTCAACTATACTATCATCATGGTTAAATATATCCGCAAAGGGAGAGTTGTTCCCTTCCATGAATAGGTCTCTAATAGTACTTTGTAAAACTTGTCTGCTGGTAAGTATGAGGTGGAAACAATGTTCCCTGCACCCAGCTGTGACTGCCCTGAGGGTACCCTGAAACAGCTTCAAGTACTTGCTCAATTTGTGTCTAGTTCTGGTTTAAAGTCAGGAGCAATTCAAGTAGTCCTTCCATAAGGATACCTTTTTTTTTTTCTTTTTTCTTTTAAAAAAGTACTTAAGATGCCTCATTGCAGGGGTGCCTGGGTGGCTCAGTCGGTTAAGCATTCGACTTCGGCTCAGGTCATGATCTCACACTCCATGAGTTCGAGCCCCGTGTCAGGCTCTATGCAGACAGTCCAGAGGCCTGGAGCCTGCTTCACATTCTGTGTCTCCCTCTCTCTCTGCCCCTCCCCTGCTCATGCTCTCTTTCTGTCTCAAAAATAAATAAAAACATTTAAAAAATATGCCTCATTGGCTATACTGTAATCATTGCCTTTGCCTTCAAGAAATTTTTGTTGAGTTAACAAAAAAGTCTTCCCAGCATGAGCACAAAGAAATATAAGGGAAGTTTCCCTCCCTTGGTGATAAATATTTTTTCTGCATACTGAATGACATGATTTTAACGGCTAGCAGTACTTTGAACTTTCAACATAAATTTAAATCACTGAGGTTTTTTTTTTTTTTTATGTTTAAAGAGTAAATCATTTGCATATATTTCTGATTTCAAAATTCACAGAATTGATTCCCTCTGTACAGTTAATGGTTGAATGTTTCTACATACCGAGATTTTATCATTTCTAGGTTAGAAATAAAATGAAGTAAAAAAATCATCTGGAAACTCAGAACCCAAAATTATTAATAAATGAATATTAACACAAAACAACCATCAAATAAGGGATTAAGATGGAAATAGATTATGTATTAGCTTTAATTAATATTTGCTTAACCTTTACAAAATGTATTGTTGTGGGCATTGATTTTAAACTGAAAAGAGAAAATAAACCAAGTTGGAATTCCCAAGAAAAAGCAGCTACCTACTAGTAACTTTGTTTCTTAGTAACAATAAAACATGTAGTTGTTCACACTTACCACTGAACATGTGAAAGCAACAATGTATCATGTAAACCATTATATATGCCGGTCTTCACATATACACCTGTGCCTATGTGTATGCTTTCATGCCTCCATACATACACATTATCTTTCCAGGAAAATAGCTGTCAGGTGAAGTTGTGATGTTTGTTTCGTAAGTCTGAAAGCAGTATACTTTCCTGAAGTAATACATTTGTTCTTTATGGTTGTGATGTCCATGTGAGTTTTTAAATTATATTTTTGTATCTGTTTGTATTCAATTGATCAGCCCCATTTAGAAAAGACATTTACATAATGTAATTGGCATATTTAAAATTGCCTGCCTTCCTTGTCTATGATTTAACTAATAGATGTTGAAATTGTGATCTGGAAATTTAGGTGTTTCATGCCCACTGAAATGTGTGAGAACAACAGTGAATGTGTCTCTAGTGAATCCAATACTGTCTGGTGTATTGGGCTCTCAATAAATACCTGGTGAAAGAGTCAAGGAATTTTTCCAAACTCCCAGCTACTATTTTATAACTAAAACATTTAAAATGGAAAGCATTTAGCTTTTAGAAATAATCTTGATCAACTTGGTTTGTAAAAGTAAATGTATACATGAGGTACACTTACTTTAGTAAGAATAACTACAGAATCTGCATGTCTGTATGTCTATATATAATTGCAAATAGAAATATTAAATCAACAGAAAATGCCGAGGCTACATATTGATCACAGCTGCAAAATGCTACTACATTAAAACTGTAAACATGGAATGAAAATGAAAGTGACCTCCACCTCTATTTCTTTTTTATTAATCATGACAGTATAAGTTGGACACTATTGCTTATTATTTTGTTTTATGTTTTAACTTAGAACTTGTATAAAAGTCTGAGTGAAGTGAAGTCTGAAGTGGAAATGGTGATAAAAACTGGACGTCAGATTGTACAGAAGAAACAGACAGAAAACCCTAAAGAACTTGATGAAAGAGTCACGGCTTTGAAATTACATTATAATGAGCTGGGAGCAAAGGTGAGTGCGCCTTGGAACCAGAAACACTGGCTATTTACCACTTTCCTTGTAAATTGCAAAACAAAAAGTAGTAATGATGCACAATTAATGTCTTAGAAAGTTAATCATTTTCTCTCAATAGATAGGTACATACACACATTTATGCATACAGATAGAGATAGATATAGTCCCACGTGTAGTTCTTGTTAAGAAACAATAATTAATCCATAAGGATCTTCTTTCCCAGTCTACATTAAAAAACATGTACAGCTCAAAGAGATTTTTATTGGCCCATCGTATGGTTTTAAAAAGGTTTCTTTCCTCTAAACTCGCCCTCTTTTCATTGTATAAATTTGCTTGTGATGACTTAAAGGCTGGAGCCTTTTATAAACTAATGCACTTACGTGTATTTAGCTACAATGGAGTTGACACATTCCACATAGACCACATTAGGTGTAATAGAGCTGTCACGTTCCATAGAAATTATTTCCCTGTGTGGCAAGTCTTGCATGATCCACCACATTTGGCTAATAAGGTAGCATGGATATCCACTGAAGTCCTATTGCTCTCTGATTATTTGTGTATTTTTGTCCTGATAGTGTTCAGTGCCCAATTCCATGTCACCGTTAAAGATGTTTATATTTCTCTATCCGCTTTCCCAAACAGTGGAATGATGAGGATCGTTACCCCACTTCCCTCAAATCAAACATTCTCTATCTATGCTCTATAGATTTAGAAGTTTTATGGCTGAAAATAATGATAGTAATCATAAAAAATAGTCATAATGGCATGGCTTGTCACCTTCAAGGACTGACCTAGCCTTTTCCGTGCTCTTATTTCATATTACTCTAAACTTTGTAAAAAAATTTTTGGTGCTCAGCTAAGGTTTAACATACTGACACAGTAACACAATAATCATTTCTGTCTTTAAAAAAGTTGTGATATCTTAATATATTATATGGTATTTTAGAGAATAAGAATATTTTATTAACATCGTGTTTGTTTGCTTAAACTTATGCAAATAAAGTTGTCCATTTTTGGCATTTAGGGCTATTTATGAATAAGTACAAATTTAAGTACTTCAGGTGAGGACCTTTAAATTAGGAGCATTTGCGGACGGTTTCATTTTCCTGACACTTCGTGTGATAAAACAAATAGAGTAAAATAAGGGCCAAAGCAGAAAAAAATAAAAATGCATACATTTTAATTTCCTTCTGAATAAAAGAGGTTTACTGGGATCGATGGGGAGAACAGAGTACATTTTTACGTCCCACGTTCTCCACTTTATTAAACATAACAACATCGGTGAGAAACCTATTACTTCATTTTAGGCACAAATATAAATGTGTGTCCACATCTGAGAAGTATCCCTACAGACACAAATTTCTACTATTTCACCCTGTAAGTAGATGGAAGGTTATGTTTTAAAAGTACTAATTGCAAATTACTTTTTCCCAAAAGAAGGTAAATTTTATATTAAAATGGAACTCTGGAAACTATTCACATTAGTTGGCAATCTTTGTTTTTAGATTTTAAAAACTTGCTAATTTATATGTCACATGTTTGAAAGGGAGCTCACTGTCATGCTATGGCAAAATGTTTTCCTTCTCAATTGATCAAAAAGTAGGGAACACTGATACATAATAAATAGGAAAACATGGTGATAAACTTGAAATAAAATACATTTCAAGTGCTTGTGTAAGTCCACCAAGGTACCTCTGGATTAAGGCTCCAAGCTCGGAGCTGTCAGCACAGAGCCCAACACAGGGCTTGAACTCACAAAATGAACCGTTAGATCATGACCCAAGCCAAAGTCAGATGCTTAACTGACTAAGCCACCCAGGCGCCTCTATCCTTCTGGACAAGTTTATCATTGTGCTAAAGATAACCACAGAGGGGAAGGTAGTATCTGTAGTTAGCATCTCATCTAGGGTTTATAGATTTTTACAGATGCCAGTCGTTCCGTATTTAGCATTAATTGAATCATCTCTAATATTAGTCATAAAGCTACACGTTGTTAATTTCTGGAAAGCTATTCTCTTTACTCAAGAGTCTCTAATTTGACCTATGTGACTTTGCACTAAAACAATCTATTAATAGATTTTTTTTATTGAAAACTATATCTTGTGAAAAGGTCGTTTCTTTGTGCTTTCAAATATGAATGTTGTCTGCTCCCCTTCCCTTCCCTTCCCTTCCCTTCCCTTCCCTTCCCTTTCCGTTGCTTTTGCCTTGAAGAATTTCCCAAAATCTTTGCCTTTGCAAGAGTAAATTTTACATAAAATAGTACCTGAATGTAAAACAGTAAAAATGATGTTTGAAGACTATTAGTGACCCAAGTTACTTATTATTAAGTGAATGAGTCTCATGAAGACGTAAAGTACTATTTCACCTTGAAAATATATATTTGAAAGTTTATGTTTATTTTAACCATTTGGCACTTAGTGAGGTCATTAAAGCAAAATGAAATACTAAGAAATCATACTTTAATAGCATGATAGAATACAGTAAAAAGGCAGGGCAAAAATTTATTTTTGAAATAAAATTTAGAATCAGTAACAATAAAAAGAATATATATAAATATTGTTACAAAAATGTGGTAAGTCATGTATTCCTTCTCCAAGAAAAAAAGTCTTAATTTAAATTGTTGAAGTACCTTCAACAACAGTGGTTCTATTTGATAAAATCAAACAAAACAAAGCCTATTTTAATAGATTATTATTCTTGTGTAAAAAAAAACCTTCTATTTTAATCATCTTCAGAACGTATATAGTTGTACTTGCCTGACTTCAATGTACGCTCCTTTTTTATTAGCTCAGGCTGCCATAACAAAATACCATAGATCCAACAATTGTGGAGGCTGGGGAGTTCAAGATCAAGGTGCCAGCTTAGGAAGACACTCTTCCTGGTTTGCATAAGCCACATCCTTATTGTGACCTCGCAAGGTGGAGAAGTGAGGAGAGGGAGTGGAAGGGTGGGAGAACAGGGAGTGGGAGGAAAGAGAGATCTTTCTTCCTCTTCTAGTAAGACCACAGTCATATCAGATTAGGGTCTCACCATTATGATCTCTTTTAACCCTTATCACTTCTTAAAGATCCTATATCCAAATGCAGTCACAGTGGGGTTTTGGGCTGCAGTGTCTTAATTCAGAGTGGAGGGGATGCAATTCAGCCCATAGCACTTTTCTTACAGAATATATTTTTATCTGTTTATTATCATCAACTTAGCTTCATTGTTCAGTGAAGAGAAATTGAGGACTTGCTTGGGTAGCTTCTCTATGCTTTGATTTTTATGGCAATATACTTAAATAGCAATAGGCCAATCAACCTAAAATACTCATGCTCACGTCATCAGTGCTCCTATCAGCCTCACTTACATTTATCCAGGAAACGACTGCTGAGGCATTCTACTGCAGGTGGCACTCTTTTAAATGTATCCCTTTTCCACACACGTACACACAAAAGTGTAAAACTCAATTTTCCTTAAGATGGCAGTGTCTCCTGTTTTATTAAAACCCATTTAGCTGGATATAAACAAAATAGAGTAAATAAAAATCAATAATGCATTAGCTCTGGGAAGATAGAATTTCTTTGAAATATCAAATCTAAGATTCCTTTTCTACCACTAGTGCATAGAAAAAAAACAACTATGCACAGAAACACACTGTAAGGTATATTTTTTTTTCTCCCACACAGAAATAAAATCCTCACAGTCCAAGGGGCTGATGCTTTTACTTCCCTGAAGGGGGAAATCTGTAAAAGAAAAAAAAATTGAATTTGCAGCCTCAGCAACTAAACATTTTTTTTTAATGTGCATACACCTCTGCTAAAGAAACTAAAACATTTTGTTGAGTGTTTGGAATCCATATCAAAGTTTCAGTGTGTTTATTTTGATTGTAGCATTTTGAATTCTTTAAAGGTATCGTCACTTTGGCATTTTTCATGCTTACGGCTGGATTATTATGTATTCATATGTGTTGATGTATGCATATGTGTGTGTGTTTGTGTATAGATAGATGGATTGATCAACAGATCAAGAAGAGATTCTGGGCTTTTTGTTCAACCCACCAACCCTAAACACTTACAGATTGTAGGCATATCTGGAGAGGTTGTGGAATGGTACGCATTTGTTCATTCTCCATGTGAGAATGTGGAAGAATTTGATTTTGGGGGGCGGGGTTTAGTTCTAAACATTGAAAACTGGGACACAAAATCAGGTTATGATTTTCTTTGTTAATAGGGATAAAAATTTTGTTTCGGAATTAAATCATTTACCCCCCTTGGATGGCAAAAAATATTTAAGGGGGAAGTGACTTACTCTTTGTGTTGTTTTTCTGGAAAAGTAAGGCACTTTATAGATACGATGACAATACAATTGACCATTTTAAGCATTACAGAAATAATTTTACTGCCTGAGAGAAGCCATATTGTTTCTTTCTCCATTTTGATTCCTTACTAGCAAACCTCATTTGTCTACAGAGGATTGTAAACTTTGCCATCCATTTGGTAGGTGATTGAAGATTTTTTTAAAGCAGTGTGTTATATCTTTAGTTTGACTTACATCATTCAATATATTTAAAAAATTTGACCATAAATTATTTTTATTTATATTGAAGAAAATGATTATAGATTTTTTTTCCCGACCTGATATAGGACAGAGTCTTTTGGAGAAAGGATCTCATCTTCCCCAGACTGTGTCTATTCACCATTAATAGAATATCTGGTTTTTCTAAAATATTACTTTTGAAAAGTAAGAAAAAGGGTATTTTTAAATGACAAAACTATTAAAGTTCCTATTACATGAGTATAACTAAACCTAAATTGAAAAAGTAAACCAAGTTACATTTTATTATCATTCTTGTCAGGTGACGGAAAGAAAGCAACAGTTGGAAAAATGCTTGAAATTGTCCCGTAAGATGCGAAAGGAAATGAATGCCCTGACAGAATGGCTGGCAGCTACAGATATGGAATTGACGAAGAGATCAGCAGTTGAAGGAATGCCTAGTAATTTGGATTCTGAAGTTGCCTGGGGAAAGGTAAAGCCTGTATCACTGAAGGTTATTTTTAACACACAAAGAAACACACAGCAATGTGAATTTGCAAGACACTATTAATGTGCAACAGTAGTTGAATTACAAATATTATCTTGCTTCACTTGTCCTTTCCTTAAAATTTCATCAGTAGTTTAACTCTGTATTTCTGAATCATGATAAAACCGGTGGGCAGCTGTAGCCAGAATCTCCCCAGAGCTTGTTTAGAATTAGGTAGGTTATGAATCAGTCCTTAAAAATACATGCATCGTTTGTCAGACAGTGAATCCAGAGAGGAGATTCTCTGTTCCCTAGCTTGCCCAAGATTGCTTAGAGGGACTCCACAACCATGATGAGAGCAAGGAGGCACAGACTGTGGACAGTTGGGCTGGACAGGTCTTGAAAGATCAGCAGATTGCTGATGTCACAATTAAAAACAAAGTCTCGAGGGGTCTGTGCAGCTGCTATGATGTCCATCACCAAAGGGCACAGGGTTTCCTTTAATCTTCAGCTGGTACATACTTGCTGTTTCTCTTGACAGCTAGTCAGACATTATTGCCCCCTAAAATTTAAGGTCAAGGTACTCATAGCTTCATTTTTGTTTCAGTTGATTCATTACCGGATTACTTGAAAAGCTGTTGATATAAAGGAAACAGTCAATATCAATAATGTGTTTTCATCTTAAACTTTGCTGAGCCATTAGGCATTTAGAAAAAAAAATCACAGCACACTCTACCCCCTTGATTTTTTTTTAAATTAACGAACACTTGCTGTATCAGTGAGATGTTCAAGAAATCTGTGCTTTATTTTTGATTCAGCAGGCTATTTGGATTATCCAAACTTGGGAAATTGTAATTGCATTAAGTAAAACTTACAATCCTACAATAAGACCAAAACTGAAGACTGATTTTCTTTTATGTAAATTCAGGGGACAAGTATGGATAAAATGTTGTTACATAAATAGTTTTCAAGTAAAGAGTAGGGAATGATTTCTTTTTCTTCCCACTCAGAATAGATTTATTGGTGGAGATATTGGGTTGCATTTATTAGGTCAGGATCATATATGTTGTGAGATGATTACAGTAGCAAGTTCACAGGGGACAAGGAAAAAATTACAGTGGCCTTATTTTTTTCCCTTATTACCCACACAAGTATTATATTTTTGTGTGATACGTTAGTTCGAGCCAATGGCAATCATATACTTAGATGCAGGCTGGGTGGCTCTGAGAAATAAGTGAAAAATGGCATGGCTCCCAAAAGTTAGAGGTTTGTTTCTGTCTCATGTAAGGTAGATAGTTCTGGATAGGGGAAGTAGTTTTGTTCCAGGAAATTCTCCTAAGGTAGATCGCTTCCATTTCATTGTTCTGCAGTCTTCTGGGTGTTTGTATTCTCATGGTATAACTCGCTCACCACCACACTTCGCTCCCAGCCCATAAAAGGAAGGGAAAAAAGGAAGTGGAGGGAAACCAACTCCCTCTTAAAGCTCTGTTGTAAAAGCTCCATGCATCATTTTGCCCATATTTTTATTTGCCAGATGTTAGTCACCTGATCATATTTAGCTTCCAGGGAGGCTGGCAAAAGATAGTTCCTAACTGGGTGGCCATTGTGTCCTGCTTGAATGATGAGTAGAGTTTGTTTGTGAAAAAAGAGAATACGTTCTGGGGGACACATAGCAGTTTGGGCCCCAGCAGTATCAGCCCTGCACTTTTTATCATAAGATACAGGCAGAGGGAGACCTGCATCATCTGTTTCTCTTTATAAAAACCCATGCCCTGTCGATGGCAGTTTCTACCATAAGTACTCATACACAAACAAAACAAGGCCCAGAAAATGCTTATGATCTACTAGAGTATGAAATACAGTAAAACATGCAAGGGCAAAGTGGTAGCGTATGTAGAGGATTCCTGAAAATAATCCAGGCTTTATTCTCACTTACCCTCCCCTTACAATTCTGGACAATATCTTCAAGTGTTCATATCCCCATTGTAATGGGTATATTAGTTTGCTAAGTCTCCTGTAAGAAAGTACCACAAATGTGTGGCTTAAACAGCAGAAATTTATTTTGTCACTGTTTTGGAGGCTGGAAGTCTGAGGTCAAGGTGGTGGCAGGGTTTTGGTTCGTTTGGAGGCCTCTCTCCTTGGCTCATAAATAGCTATCTTCTCATGTCTTCGTATGATCTTCCCTTTGTACATCCCTGGGTCCAAATATCTCTTCTTCTAAGGACACCAGCCATATTGGATTAAGACCCACCCTAGTGACATTATTTTACTTAATTGCCTCTCTAACCTTTCTGTCTCCCAATTTGGTCACATTCGAAAGTCTTGGGGTTAGGGCTTCATCATATGAATGTCCAGAGGACACATTTCAGCTCCTAACAATGGGGTAGCTTTATAAATATAATTTGGAATGCTACTATAATGGTACACAAAAGAATAGAATTAGAAATGAAGGGGATTTAAAAAATTCTGACTACAATTTACAAGTGACTGAGATGAAACTATGGAAGTGTGCCACACAAGAACTCTGAATTCCACGGTCTCTGTAAGGTCACTGAGTACATCACCTAAGGAGATGTTTGCATTAGCTTCACCATAAAATCAGTTAAAAAAAAAAAAACATACTATTATATAATTAGCTTGGCAAAAGTTTCTAGATTATCCTTGTCATATTAGAGGGCTTGAAGGATCTGGAGATGTGTCAAGTTATTGAGTCCATCTGGAAATTACTTTCCATGAAACCAAGGAGTAATACTAATTTGAGATCCAATAGGAAAAAAGTATAGAAAACTGGCATTTGTTTTCTTTTGTGGTAATTTATCACTCTCTCTGGATATTTTGAAACACTAAGCTGCTAATGATATGCTCTAAGACCCCTTAGTGGTCAAATGAAAGTATGCACATTTGGATCCAGATTACATACTTTGTTTAATATACTCATCTGGAAGGTGCCTACAGCTTTTTCAAAAGTCACAACCATATAATAAAAGCATGTGACCTACACATCTAAAGCAGCCACACTGATGATAATTTTTTAAAATGAAAACAATCTCATACACAAAACCTCGTGATTCCCTAGTACATTCTTATTTCCCATGCTTTCTTGGTAGGTGGAGAACTTGACTCAAACTGTTAGTCTTGTCTGCAATTTCAAAGGGTAAATGTCAGTTTTTTTTTGAAAAGAAATTGAGGGGCGCCTGGGTGGCGCAGTCGGTTGAGCGTCCGACTTCAGCCAGGTCACGATCTCGCGGTCCGTGAGTTCGAGCCCCGCGTCGGGCTCTGGGCTGATGGCTCAGACCCTGGAGCCTGTTTCCGATTCTGTGTCTCCCTCTCTCTCTGCCCCTCCCCCGTTCATGCTCTGTCTCTTTCTGTCCCAAAAATAAATAAACGTTGAAAAAAAAATTAAAAAAAAAAAAGAAAAGAAATTGAGTATTCATTTAAATGCAATACATTGAATGTATTTGCCTATCATTCCAAGTATTTTTGACTTGGAGAAAATTTTAATATGTAGAGTCAATTTATTTTTAAACTGTTTCATTTATTTCTACTGAATTTCTTTCAGTTCTGTTGATCTAAGAACATTATATTTATTTATATTTATAAATATTTGAATGCCTATATAAAAACATTCTTATGTATCAAATTTAGTTACTAGTGAAGCACTTATTTGACCTTCAGTTTATTCAAACAGAACATACTTTCGAATATATTGCCTACTAGTAAACCTTTTGAGTGTTACTTCTACTCTATTCTAATTATACTTATTTATTATATATCTCATTCCAGAAAAAAAATATTTAGAATGGCTCAAAGAGATACACATGATTCACCTGGTCAAGCACAAATAAATTAGAAAACTAAAGAAAGGGAAAATTAGAGAAGGAAAATGATGGAAACGTTGCACAGAAATATGCCCACAATAGTGCTCGCTTCGGCAGCACATATACTAAAATTAGAATATGCCCACAATATTCCATGGAGAGTGTAATAGGCAGAGGAGGGTAAAGCCTCAAAATTTGGCACCAAGCTTCCCACTGGGCAAAATAAGTAAACAGACTTTTTTTTAATTTATTGTGCTAAGAACGCTTAACATGCGATCTAGCCACTTAACATTTTTTAAGTGTACGATACTTACGGAAGGAAACTTATTTATGAATTTCAAAAGTGTTCAAATTATTAAAACTATCATTAAAATATTTTTAATTTACTAGTGAGAGCTTTTTTCCTAAAATTTAGCTAGGGAAGAAAAATTAGAGTCATGTATGAGATAGCACCTTTATTAATATTCTTATAAAAAAACCTAATAAAAAGGTTTGTGTAGCCATTTTTCTATCAGCGTGCTTCAATGCAGAAACAATGCCATGAGCCTGATTCCGGACTTTCCATGTCTTCTTCCTTAACAAGTATCCGGAGTTTGGCACCGCAAGATCATTTTGATAGGCCAATGATGTTGTTAAAGTGAACAATCGAAAATAGATTCTCTCATTTTAGTTTCACTCCTGCTCACAATCCTTTTGTCACATGTTCAAAGCCATAGATGTTAGAACACATAGGTCTTCCTAAAGATAGTGCTATATGACACATTTCCAGGTCTTTAAAAGTAGCATGTACTTGGGAAAAGACTATAAACCTGAGAATATCTGAGGTATCCCAGATCAGATTTTCCAGTCTCGAGGAGAGAAAGAATGAGGAAAACTGTGCTGTCAACTCTCACCATATGACTACACTTCCAGCTTGCAGGTAGAGGGGAGAAGATGAATACATTGAAAATGTATTCCAAAGTTATAAAGGTAAAAGAAAACAGTTTAAATTCAAATAACAGGAAGCAGACATTTTAAAATAATAACAGAAATGAGATAAAAGTTTAATAATGGGAATTGAAAAGTTACACTGTTAATGCTAATTTGAACTTTCTAAAGCTCAGTCGCCCTTTCCCTGTATTTTTAAATTCAAACTGTCTACCTCTATTAGAGTGATGATAAAGAGAGAGAAATTAATATTAATATTTT